TTTATTCTTTGTTTACTTGAGTTTTTGGTATCATATGTATGATCATTACTTAACCCCAGGTTGTAAAGATTTATAACTGTTCTTTGTTCTAAGAGTTTTATAGTTTTGGTTCTTAGATTTAAGCCCTTAATCCATTTTAAGAAAAATTTTGTCATGGTGTGAGATAAAAGTCCACCTTCACTTTTTTGCATGTGGAAATTTATTTGTCCCAGAACTATATATTATTTCCCCTTGTGTTATCTTAGCACCCATATCAAAACTTGATTGAAGGCTGGGGTTGTAGCTCAGTGGTGGAGCACTTGCTAGCATGTAAGGGGCCCTGGGTTCAATCCTCAGCATCACATGTAAATAAATAAATAGTTATTGTGTCCATCTACAGCTAAAAACATATTTTTTAAAAACCCCAATTGACCTTAAATTTTATTTCTGTGCTGTCAGTTGTGTGTGTCTATTGCTATACCAGTAACTGATTACCTTGATTATATTAGCTTTTTAACATGTTTTGTGATTTGGAAGCATGAGTTATCAAACTTTTTCTCATGTAGTTTTGTTTAGCATTATAGCTCCCATGAAGAAAGAGTATTGTCAAAGGTTAAGTAATTTATTACTGTGTCATGTGATAGTGTAATAGCATCTTAAATGCTATTATACTTAATGAACGAACTTGTGTTATTTTTTTTTTGAGAGAGTGTTCTGTACCCTTTTTTTCTATCCCTATTTTAAGACAGCAGAGTACTTGCCATATTTATCATTTTGAAGATAGAACTCTTTTTTAACTTTTAAAAAAATATATTTTTAGGGGTTGGTGTTGTGGCTCAGTGGTAGAGGACTGAGCTAAACTGCTAAGGGCTGGCTTTGAATTTGTGATCCTTCTGCTTAAACCTCCCAAATTGCTGGGATTACAGGAGTGTTTTTTCTTATGAGCAGTTCCATCTCTAGCCACAAAATAAGGCTTAACTTGATCTTGGGCATACTGGGGGGTTAAAGATCAAATGTTGGAATAAAATATGGAATGGGAAAAGGATATTTTGGAAGAAAAGAGCTCCTCTCTGGAGTCCTATTTCTTAAAATGGAAGAGATGCAAAATTAAGACTGTTGCCAGTATCAAGAAAGAGGAAATCAAACATTTTAAAACTTTTCCTCTAAAAAAAAAAAAAGGAAAGGGAGCTGGAAGTGTAACTCAGTGGTAGAGAGTGTGTTTAGCACATGCAAGACCTTAGTTTCAGTCCTAGGTGGAAAAAAAAAAAAAACAAAACTGTTCAGTATAGGGAGGCTATAGTCAAGATAGGGTTTTCCCATTTCTGCCACTGCACCTTCAGTGAAGGTATATTCACAACAAGCATCTTGTCTTTGTAACCTCTTTACTTACAGCAATGATGAATTAGAGCTGTAAAAATAAGATTACATTGTCTTTAGGGAGGGGACCATAAGCTTAGACCAACTCTGGAGTATTACATTGGCAGACAACTTTTGTTTTTGTTTCTGCTTGGCCTACTAGAACACAAGTGCAAAACTGTAATAGCATCTTGCATATCAAAAGTTTAAGCCTGAAAACTCCAATTCCAGCACTTAGCTGCTGATGTCTGGCTTGTACTGTGCCCCTTTTCTTTAACTGTAAAAGGATACTTCTATTTGAATGTCCTTCTAGAATAATAATAACAGACACAGTTCTAAGGCCTTTGTCTGTGTTAACTCAATTTTCACAGAAAGCTTGTGAGGCAAACACTATTATTAATTTTATAGATAACAAAACTGAGGCTTAAAGAAATTAGGTGAGTGATATAAAGCTAGTGAGTGCAGAGCTGGAATTTAAACGCAGACAGTGTGGCCCAGGCCGTCAAGTACCACCTCAGCTATGCATCCTTTTGAATGTACTTGTCTCTGTACTTGTAAAATGTTTATAAAGCAGCAGGTACATTGTCATGTGTTTATTGTTCTCAGTAACTCTTTGGAGTTAGATGTCCTGTGCATATCTATCTGTCCTCCTTTTTCTGCCTTTTACGTTGTTTTACGCACATGAAAACAGTCTACAGGAAGATTTAAAAAACTAGCTTCATTCATAGCAAATTTGGATTTGGAAAAATAGTTTATACCTCAGACTATTCTTTTCTCCGAGTTAAACTCACCCAGCTGCAAGCAGAGCAGCTTCATTCTGCTGACGGCATGGGAGAGAGGAAGCAGAGACCCACTCTGTCCTTATTGACCCATGAGTCAAGCAGTGAGAGCTAGACCCACACTAGAGTAGTAACCTTTAGTACACGAATTCTGCCCAGCAAGGAAATATGGACTAGTAGTTGTCAGACTTCTATCAACTCACCAAACTGATAAGCCCTCCTGTCATGAGAGTGACTGAGTAGATGAATATAGGGTGTTTGTAGAAACTTCTTCCTCAGACGTTCTCCCAAAAGAGTTTTCACAGGGGTATGAAGTGGACCAGGTATACATTAGACACAATTGCACGATATGAGAGGAACCTGAAGCTACCCTCAGGTTTCTTGTGGGTCCCTAGTGACATTTGGGAGAATGGTACACTCCCACATGTCTAGAGGGGGCTTCAGGAGTGAGTGGAAAGTTGCCAGGGCTCAAGGATGTGGTGTAAGTGGCCCACCAAGAATTTCAAAAGAAACACTTGTCCTGATCACCCTTCCTGCCAAGGAGCTCCACATAGACCAAGAAGCAAATTTGAAGGGCATAACAGCCTAGATGGGACAGCAGCAGCAAAGGCCTCTGAGGATGATGGGACAGCTGCACAGGCCCTGGAGTACCGGGTTAAACCTGAGAAGGAAGGAGGGAGAAAGCCCAGCTCCAACATGGGGATGGAAGTAGTAGGGTTTGTGACAGTAAGTTGAAATCTAGTCAAAAGTAAGTTTAGTTGGGGCCTTCCAGAGGGTGATTGAGAAATTTGTGACAGTTACCTACATAATTATGGTTTGGGTTTTTTTTTTTTCTGTGTGTGTGTGTGTGTGTGTGAATTTTCATCTGGAATCTGAGCAAGTCTTAATAATTACTTTTTTCTATGTAGAAGAAAATTAAATCTTTCTTTTTGACCGGTGTTCTGTGTTGCTATAGTATAATTCAGCACACGGTGGCGTATGTTTTAAGCACTCAGGATTCATATATGTTTGACCACATGTGTGCCTTCCTGGTGCTCATGATTCCTGTTTCTGGTAGTGTATGTCTACTATCAGCAGATCTTCTCAGGAGTTTTTGTTGGGTTTTGGGGGGGTTTGTTCATCTTCCTTTTGATGAACTTTTCCCCTAAGTGTGGAATTTTAGGTTGGCACTTTCTTTTAACTATTTGAAGTGGCCATTTCGTTGTATTCTGGCTTCTGTTGAAATGTGAGTTATCATTGCACCTTTGAAGATCATGCCTTCTTTTCTTTCTGACTTGCATCTCAGCTCTTTGATGATATGTCTGAATGTATAAATAGATCCTTTGGATTTATCCCACTTTGGTTCACCAGAGTTGATCATTCTTCAGTTCTGGAAATTTTGGGCCCATTTATCTTAACAGCTGTTTCTGCTGCTTATTGTCTTTCTCCTTTCCTGAGGGAATTCAGCTATAAGATTCTAGAACTTCTGACTGAATCTCCTGTGGGGCTCTCTTATCTTGTTTGTTTTTTGTTTGTTTTGATTGGCAGTGCTTCATTCTGGAGGATTCTAGACATTATTTTTCAGTATRAAAATGCCCATTTGATTTTTTTTATACATTTTGTTTAGATTTTTCATATGTTGATGTGTTTGGTCTATCATTTAGTCCTGGCCATGTTAATCATGTTATGCTAAAGTCCTTTTCAGATAGTTTGAATATCTGAATTGCCTCTGATTCTGTTCTTACTCTTTTCCCTCTGTTTAATCCTGTTTTTAGCAATGGGGTAGAGGGAAGAAGGAAGCATATCTCATGATTTTTTCAAATCAAATGTTGGATATTATGCAAAAAAATTAAAAAGCTCTGGGTTAAGTTATTTTCCTCCAAAGAGGGTTGTTGTCATTTGGCTAGCAGATACTAGTAAATCACCTTAGCATACACATTGGTTCTTGGTTGGGGCTTTGTTAGAATGCTCTATTCTTAATCCTTTGTGGCTCTTGGTCTAAAGCATCATCCTTTGGGCAGGCCATCTGAAAGCCTGGTTGGTTGTTTGATCCCCACCTGGGAGGGACTCTGACCCCACCACAGGATCTGAAGTGTCTGCTGATCTTGTTTAGCTTCATGGCTGCTGTTTCCTATTGGGTTTCTCAGAATCTTACACTTTGCTTGTGCAGTTTAGGACTTGGCCAATACTTAAAGGAGATTTGTAAACAGATTATTAGATCCTCTGTGATCCCTTCAGACCTGCCTGAAAGCCCTTGGGAACAAACAAGTCAGCAGGATTTCAGAACAGGAGGTGGGTCGCATATTCTGCTAGCATTTTAGTGGAAGGCATTTTCTACATCCAGCACAGGAAATAAGGTCCAGGCATAAAGTGGCAGGCAGCTTTACTGGCTAAGGGGATATAGATTAGGGTTTGAGGCTAATCTCTATCTCCCTAGCCAGTAAAGCACAAGTTACCTTTGGGGGCTTCAGTTTTCCCATCTGCAGAGAATGGTGGACATCAGATAACTCCTCTATGAAAAGCATTAGGGTAAGTGAAAGATTACACCTACCTAGAAAGGTGGTTCTTGATGTTTAAATGAAAAAAACACATGCAAACAACCTTCCGCAGTGCCAGACATCAAGTGTGCAGTGAATGTCATTTCTCACATCCTGCCCATCCTCCCCAGCTGTGTGTGGTCGCTTCGTACCATGTTTGCCCAAATATAATAAAGGTTTCTTAAGTTGATACTCATCAGATTAAGGAAGGAAGGGCTTGATGTTTCTAGAGACTACCTAGGTTGAAAGTGAGGTATTTTACTTATTAATTATGGTATATATTTTGTATATAAGGAAACAAAAAGGGCTTAATTCCTGTTATGCTAACAGTCACTTTTCATACCTTTGCCTCATTGCTTCTATTTTGTAGCAACCAAACTTGAAAGGTTCTTTGGATTCTTCCACACTGCCCAAACTGGAAGAGTTCTACATCTCCCTTTTCCAGTCACAGCAGTCAGCAGAAGGGAGTAAGTTTGAGCCTAACAACATCCAGACTCCAACAAAGCAAATTCAGCTGCCCACAGCAGCAGCCAGCTCAGCTACTGTCGCAGCCGACGACCCAGGAGAGCACTCTGGTTCTGGTAGGTGCACATGCGCTCCTGTATCCTCGCCACTGGCAGATGATATTTGGCCATGTTGCTGAAAACCTTCTTTTACCTCTGTCAGAACATACTTGAGCATTGCTGACTGTAGGATTTGTCTCTGTTGTTCCCATTATCTATGCCATTCTTTTTTTCCCCCTGATGATTTTTGGAGGGACTTCACATTTATATAGAATAAAAATTATGAATTTTTAAGGTTATGATTCTTTTGAGTTTTGGCAAAATATACAATCATATAGAACATTCTCACCATTGTGAAAAGTTTTTTTATGCCCCTTTGCAGTCAATCCCTCCACTAACTTGCTAGGCTCTGGCATGTCACTTTCCCTTTCCTGTATTACATAGTATGTAGGTTTTATGTCTGGCTTCTTTTACTTACCATAATTTTTTTTTCAGTACTAGGGATTGAACCCAGAGGCTCATGCATGCTAGGCAAGCACTCTGCCACTGAGCCACACTTCAGCTCTACTTACTGTAGTTTTTATGTTATTTCCATTCAGTATTTACAAAAAAGTGGATTTTCTGGGATGTATAGTGACTGCATGTTTAACTTTTTAAACTGCCAAAATGCTTTTAAAGTGGCTGCACAGTTTGCATTCACCTGTGAAGGTTTAAAAGTTCAGATAGCTCCGATCTTCACTAGCAGATGGTATTTTCCTGCTTACAGACCTGTTATGGTAATTTTAATTTGCATTTTCCTATTTACCACCTTTTTGCCTAATTTGCCATTCATATATCTTTTTAAGTGGCTGTTCAAGTATTTGTTTTTAATATTGATTTATCTACTTGTAAACAAGTTCTTTATTCTGGACATAAATCCATTATCAGATCTATATCTCTATATAGCATATATATATTTCCTCCAGTTTGTGTCATGTCTTTTTTTAAGTGTCATTTTCTAAATAGTGACTTTAGAAGAGCAAGGGCTTACATTTTGATTGTCTAATTTAGTGATTTTTTTTCATTATAATCTGAGCTTTGTGTGTCCTATTTAGAAATCTTTACCTAACCCAAGTAACTAAGTGCCAGTCGGTGAAATGTTTGTAATGATAGACAAGACAGTAAAGAAGTTGTGCCAGAATCTACACTGCATTGCTGAGTACTGTTTAGCTCACCTGATTTTTTTTTTTTTTTTTTAAGCAGGACTTTTCTGAAGGAAGGAGCAGGTTGGCTTAGACACCAACAAAAGCCACTTCAATCATAGTAGCTGGCAGTCAACAGTCATGGACCAGTTACTTTGGGCAGCACTGGTCTAGCTTGTACCTGTTTCCTTAGCTATGGGAACTCTGGGCATTGGAGCTCCCTCAGTTTTATTTTTTCCAAAGGATTACTTCTAAGTTAAATCTAAAGCCTACAACAGTCATTTTATGGCTGATAACTGGCTCTGGTTCTGCTTAGCAACCATTTTGCTTTCACACTGGCACAGACCTGGCAACAGAGCACGCCGGTGGCAAGTTGTGGTACACTGTGGTACTCAGGGCTGGAAGGAAATGGGAGAGCTTATGGTCTCTTCTCTGGGATCTGAGTTTACTTTTATGAAATTCTTGGAAACCAGTCTTCCCTTCCTGATTCATAAGTGCATTTTCCCCTCTTTATCCTGACAATTTGATCCCAAGGTATGATTCCCCACCCTATCTCCTTCCCATCTGGCGGCTGATTTCTGAATCTCAACATCCCTGACTGGCCTTGGGTAACTGTCATCACCTAACAGACGATGACTGTAGTACCTGTTAGTAGAGAACTAGAGTGGAGGAGAGAGGGCAGTGAAAAGACTTGTCTTCTCTTTTTTTAGTGGAGAGCTCTCCAGGGAGCCTAAAGAACGAAGATCTTTCTAGTCGCCACGCCATTGCAGTGTTCAAGGATAAGAGTCAAGGAGCCATGGACCAGCTGTCTTTGATTTTGTCTCCTGAGCACAAGATTTCTCAGAAGCTCTACATTCCTCGAAGTACAGCCACAGCTGCCCTGGGAGCTGCTGCGCGCCTGGCCACGTCCAGGAGCCTCCTGCACTGGTACCCCAGTGTGAAAAGGGTGGAAACCTGAGGGGGGAGGGGCGGCGCACAGTGGCGCTTGGCTCATCCTAAGGGACTCGATAGCTTTGTTATGCTAACTGTCCATTTTGATGTGTAAGTATTGATATTTAACATTATTTTTATTTGTACTAATGATTTTATTCTGGTTTTTTTTTACCTTTGTTTTTAATGTAGTTTGAAGGAGTTTTTGTTTTTTGTGTTCCTATAAATGTTCTTCTTTTACATATCATGACTGATAAATGAAAATTAAGAGTCTGTTTTGTGATCCATATTTAGTAAGATAAATATATTCCCACTTCCCTGTCTCCAGAAGGAGGATGTCTGAATTTAGGGTTGCTGCTTTCTATCAAATTTGAAATATTACATATTATAGAACATCATTATTTTTTCTTAATACTGGGAGCAGTAAGAAAATCCACACCCTGATGCTTTGGTCATATAACTATTTTTACATTTTAAAAAATATTAAGCTGTTTTCAGGATGGGCAAATTTCTGGAACATAGCTGAGCTTTATATAGTTACTGCAGTTCCCAGAAGTGTCAGTGTGGCATGTTTCAATGCACTGGTGTTTAGGCATTTATGTAGCACTGTCTAAAGTGACTTTGTGCAAAGTGTTGTGTGACACTCTGTTGAGCTTATAGTATAAATCCAGAGGAGAGACTAAAAGTGGAATGGAGTATGGGTTTGTGGCTCCGTGAAGTGCTAGTCTAACATGCTCAAAGTCTGGATTCCATCCCCAGCACAATTTCAGACTTGAAATTGAAAAATGTGACATTCATTTCTTTGTGCCAAAGTACTAGGCTTATCCCCAAATTCTAAGAATATTACTTTATCCATGTAATTAGTTCCCAATATAGAATCATTTCTCAGAAGTCAGAGAGATGTAAACAGCTGGCATGCTGCACGTACCGCCTGGTCTGCTAGTTCCCTTCTTTGTACAAGAAGGAATTTCTTCTCTTTCCTTCTCAACGGCTTAATCAGCAAATATCCACTAAAGAAGGAAGAGGGATGCACTTAGAGTACCGCTGCTGAACCTTAGGTAATCATGAAAGTCAAACCCAGAGTTTTTAGAGATGCTGGCACAGTGGCACATGTCTGTAAATCCAGTTACTGGGGCCAGTCTCGGCAACCTAGTAAAGCCCTGTCTCAAAATTTAAAAGGACTGGGGATATGACTCAGTAGTTAAGCAACCCTGAGTTCAATCCCCAGTGCCAAAAAAATTTCAAAAAAGTCTTAGAGAAAATGTTTAATATGATAAAATTTAAAAATCCAGATTCATCTTTAATGCCAGTATAAGAATGGTGATATACTAACTGATAAAAAAAAAAACTGAACATATCACTAATAGTTGCTTCAACAGATAAAACAGGTTCCCATTTGGGCTTTATGAATTTTACATCAGACGTCTTTATTGGAGAAGTATGTGGAGGGTCAATAAGGAGCTAAATGTCATATATGAAACTCAATTGAACTGGCAAAGCTCTGTTTATCATATAAATTTAGATATTATTCATAATTTTAGATTTTTTTCCTTTGGTGCTGGGGATCAAACCCAGGGCCTTGTACATGCAAGGTAAGCACTCTACCAATTGAGCTGTATCCCCAACCCTTAAAGATTTCTTCTTTAAATATGTTTCTATCTCAACTACTCAGGAGATTGAGATAGGAGGATCACAAGTTCAAGGACAGACTTGGCAATCTAGCAAGACCCTCAGCAACTTAGGATCTTTCTTTAAAGAAATCAAGTACAAGTAATAGAGTTCATTTCTCCAGATGAGTGGTTACTGGGTTTGGAAGAAGGTGTGCCTTAAGTGGAAGGGTTGACTGAGTACATGGTTGGTTAGTTAACTGTAACCCTCTCTATAATTGCACCCAGCCACCGGGAAGAACTCTGCCACGCTGGGTAGCCTTTATGTAAGTTTGACAATTGGTTTTACAACCTGACAGGGATTAACTCTGTACCTTGCAAATTAAATAGAGATTATAAAATAGTTAATGTGCCCAGGCTTTTTCAGAGTCCCACTCTGTGACATATGGCTGGAGAGAGAAGTATTTACACAGAAGCTGTCTCAAACTGAATGTCAACATACATTGAAAGAAGCCTATTTAGTAATTAATATTTGACATCTTATTTGAATTAGCGTGAAGAATGGACCTTTGAAAGGCTTATACCTTTTGACTGCTTGGCTCTGACTAGAATAGCCAATCTGTGAGTCTGTTTACCTACCTTGTCCCCCAAAATGTGTGTTTTGTTTGGTAGTTAAATAGCCCAAAAGCATCAAATTTAATCATTTGAAAAATAGTATGTTCCTGCTTATGAGCAGGAACAACAATAAGAAGTATACACAAGGTATGTAGATGCTCTGTGGTTTATAGGCCATTGTGTACATTTTGGACGTTTGTGGTTTCAGGAGCCATTAGCACTAATGGAGGTCCCCCTGAAATGTTTGAAGTGGGTTCCCAAGTGTGAGAGAGGGAATGGATGAAAACTAGAGGAAACTCCTGGTTCTTGACTCCTCAGGAATGGAAGAGGGCCTTGCTTTTAGAGACATTTGGGTCTTGACTGCAGCAGCTTATAGCCAGTGCTCCCCTCTCCCATCTAAAAATGCCCCCTGGGATTCCAGCAGCAGCAGCAGCACAGCCAGCTGCCCTTTCTAAGGCTGGGAACAACTAGAGGCTACTGCCTGCAATCAGCCTGTGTCTAACGAGGCCTAGAATTATGGCGTTTTGACCTAGGAAGGGCCCTCTGTGGGGAAAGGTGAAGTATGAAAAACTGGCTTGCCTGGAGTCCCACAGCTCCATTCCCCGCTCTGCCAGCTCCAGTGCACAGCCCTTTTCAAAGGGGGAGTGTGCAAGTCTATCTCATGTGCTATGAATAATATGTGCCAGAAAACATGGATTTGGTAAATCAGCCCAAAACAATGGTGGCTTTTATAGCWGAATAAATGGGGGAGAGAGGACTGATTTATAAAAATTCCCGTTTTCTTGAAGATGGATAATTGAAATAACAGTGGGCCAGTTCTACAGCAAAGAATCTGAAAAAGGGATGTCGTAAGGAGCCAGAAGCCAAATATAGCAATAGAATATAGAAACCAAATCCACGACTCTCTGCTCTCGGCTTTGGTCACAGAATCTGAATCTTTGGTCACAGAGAAATCTTTCTCAAGTTTCCTATTAACATTTATATGACATAACAAGGCTTTTCTAAGGTATTTTTATATAATGCCATGGATGGCATTCCTCAATTTGTAGGATCTTGACTTTTCCAACATATCAACCCAAGTACATTGCTCTGTCAACTAACTCTATGTATTTTGAATTAAACTCCATTTCTAATGGGTGCCGCTTGTCTCATTTAATCACCAGTTGGCCTAGGAAGTTTTTGGTATCATTGGCCAACTGGAACCAATCATTTAAATGGTATTTTAACCATGTGCAGGGAAAATGTTAACTGCTGAATTGAGGATTCTGTAATATTCAGTATTATGATTGATTCATGTGCCACTTGAGAAATTGGCATTTGGCAATGCATCAAAACTGAGCAGAGATCTGGGATTGTGGCTCAGTGGTAGAGCGCTCACTTAGCACTGGTGGGACCCGGGTTCGATTCTCAGTACCACATAAAAAAAAAAAAAAAGGCATTGTATTGTGTCCATCTACCAAAAAAGAAAAAAGATTCTCTTTCTTTTAAAAAAAAAATTATAAAAATATTTTTAAAAATTATAAAACTGAGCAGAGAATTATTCAGAGCTAAATTTTCTTAGTTATAAGCATAGTTTTCAGTAATTACTTTTAAAAAGTTTCCTACTGGGTGTAAACTTTGTTTTATGTTTCTGCTAAGTATTTTTGACTTATGGAAAAATGAGCTTAGGAAACAATGTTTGCTTGACTATTTCTTCTTAATGCCACTTATACAAATGCTCTGATATAGAAAACCAAATCCACGACTCTGCTCTCGGCTTTGGTCACAGAATCTGAAAGGGAGTTGCTGGGATCAAGGAGTGATCATACTACGTTACTCTTTGGAGGTTGTAACAGCATTTTGTTTGATTTAAATATTTATGAAGTCCAAATTTGTTTTGTCCAAAATGTCCAGGTGTTTCTTTGTGATTAGCTTTTTGTTGTATTGATTCTATAGGAATGAGATTTTTACTTGAATATGTGATTCAAAGTAGTTGAGTAAAATGCAAGATTAGTTGACTTTACACTTTTTGACTAAACAATTTGTCTTCATTTTTGTTATGACCTCTTCATTTCCAGAGAAGGGTTTTGCAATCCTTTTCTTTGTTGTGGATAAATAATTATATTCCATAAACTTAAAAATTTTGTGTTGGAGTCAATTCACAAGTTTCTGACAGTTATATTTCAAAGACTTGTTTTCCTTCTTCATAGCAACATGTCAACCCCCTCTAATTCTTCATCCGGCTTCTAAAATTCCCTTTGCCACTATTCTGCACTCTAGATGCCAAACCCAGCTGCGGCCTGGAGCCATCATGCAGCACTCTGTCACCTCCCTGATTCTGCCTTGGCTGCAGTCCTGCTCTTCTGCCTAGAGCAGATTATTTCCAGGGGGCTCTCAAATTCTAAAACTTTTCCTTAATGCCATCCCACTGGACCATAAGAAGAAGCCAGTGACTGAATTCTGTCTGTTTCTCACTAGAACAAATGACCCCTAGGCAGAGTTTCTGTTCTGCACTGCTCTTGGTGGTGGTTCTCTGGTGGAAAAGCTCTCCTGATGCTGTGTGTCTGAAAACGCTTTTCATTTTAGTAAGACTGTGTGTATCACTCAGGATGCTGAAAACTAGGCAAAGCATATCCCCAAGGGCTTTTCAGTGTTTCTCCCTGTGCTGCTGTCCTCATGGATAACTGTCTCGTCCTTAGAAGGCTGAAACTCGAGCAAACATGCTGAATGGGCCAGGGCTGGAAGTTTATCCTTTCCCTTCTGGGTTTTATAAGTGATAGCTTTGCTTTACTATTCTGGAGTTGGACAGCCAAATTGTGAGAGGAGAGGCGGGGGAC